TCACTGAACCGAGTTCATTGTGGCGGCCCTGCTGGTGCAAAGGTTGAACTGAGCACTTACGACTGACCCCGGCTCAAGGGCGCTGCCCCCATCCGGAAGTCTGCGCCCCTTTCCCGACCTCTGCCCAACCGTCTCTGCCCAACCGTCACTGCCACGCCGCACTTGCCGGCCAGAAGTGAATTCCACAGCCTCCTGCCCAACTTCACGTCAAGACACAGGAGCCCGACTCTCCTCCCCGAGCCCCCGAGCCCTACTTTGGGAGGTGAGAAAGCGACGTAAACTTCGAGGAGGGGGCATTCCGGAGGCGCTGGAAATGCGCGTGCGCATTCCCACAGCACCAGCCACCGCGAGAGCCGGCCGTAAAGTGCGCGCCTCCGGTTTACGTCTGTTTACAGTACGAGCGGAGGGCGGAGACTCAGGGACGGCTTTGGATTGGACAGCGCGGAGGGACTGCGCAGGTACTGAGCCCGACGATTGGGCGGGGACAGCGCGCCTTGGATTTGAAGCGGGGAACCGCGGTCTGCAGCAGGAGGAGCTTATTCCTGCTTGAGACCTGCGGATGGCTTTCTCGCTATAACTAAATCGAAGGCGGCGCGTTGAGAGCATTTGCCAGCTTTAAAGTAACGCCTAATTCAGTTTGGGAGCCCAGAGCACCATCGCCCACCTTATACACGCAAACATTTCCGGTGATTACTTAATACTACCCGGAGTTTAATATTGTTGCCACTTCTTTGTGTTTACACAAGCAGGTGCAGATCTTTTCTATCCATCACCATTTGGCAAATGCTGAAATGTCACGACTTGCCTTACGTTATGCACTGTTAACAAGCTCCAAATAGGAGATCATTTCCCCGGATCCAAGCTTCGTAATAGCTGGTGTGGAATTGTGTGAGGCGATGAGACGTAATCCATCCCTAACTTCCTACATTTTTCTTACCCCCTAGACGGCAAATCCCATCACCGACATCTGCTCAGCACAAGGACTTTACTACTTACTACTTCACTGAAACCATATAGGTAATTCAGTTTCAGACCTTTCAGTGTCCTTTATCTCAGTATTTCTTTTACAGCCTCAGAGTTAGTCTCTCCTTTCCAGTTAACTATTTAACGTCATTCATTTAATAGTTAAGATGTGCGGTGCATTTGGGAAGAGAAAAAAGGGAAAGCACGGTTGAATTTAAATCCTACTCCTAATTTTAGCCTAGTGGGAGGAAACATTTTACTTAGATCACTCTACCTCCTCTAAAATGTTACTCAACCATCATTCCTAGATGCCCTCTGGGCTGATGGTTCTCTTGCCTTTAGAAATGCATCCGAAACACAAACCACTCTTCCTCGTTTTATAACCTGAGGACCGTTCTGTCTCGCCTACCCTTAACTGCCTCCACTTTCACACTGTTTGTCACTTTTCATGTTACCAGGTTGGTCCTGGGCACTATGTCGACATTTGTTGTAACTGATCAGGTCTGGTTTCCTGTAAGTCACGTTTCCTCAGTTCTCTTCACACCTCTTCTTGAAACCTTCCAGCTTAGCATTTGCAAAGTGTAACTACCCTCATTCTACCTTTCTCCATACTCAATTAACAAAGTGGAGAAAATCTTAAGATTTTCTGAATCCTGAAAAATGTTTAGCTCTAGAACTGAAAGGATGCTATTTGAGTATAAGCAACCCTTGTTTCATAGGATATTTTAACTCCTCTATACCATGGTCTATGTTGGAGATGAACTGCCAGAATGTGTCTATATGTCCCAAACTGTCATTCACTCTGTAGCCCTTGTACCCAACTCAAAAAATGTCCTTCCCCCATAAAAATCAAGTTACCAAAGCTCTGCCCACAACACCCAGCAAGGCTCCAGTGACAGGGATATACAATCCAAAGTAATCTGCAGGCAGAAAGTCTGGACTCTAATGCCACACTGCCTAGATCTCATTCTTGAGATCACTTCCTAGCTGTGCAGCTTCAGGCAACTGGTTGTTAACCTGCCAGTTTCCTCATCTGTAAAATGGGGATTATTCAAGCACCTGCCTCAGAGGTTTGTTGCCAGAATTAAATCAATTAACTTGCATAAGGTATCTAGAAGAGCATAGGACATGGAGGTACTCGACAAATACCAGGTAGTATCTAACCTTATTTGCCAACTCGCAAAGTAGCACTCAAGGGGAATTCCAAAATTTCCTTGGACACTGAGTAGAGCTACATGGTTAACTGTGCCCTCCAAGGAATTAGAAGTGATGCCTATCCAGTTAAGAAAAGGCAGACTTCTCCCACAGCTCCCCTTTACCAACTGCTTTAAGTGGTAACACTTCAGCTGCAAATATCCAAAGCCTACAAATGTGACAAGGTATGATTCCAGCTTAATCTCCCATGAGTTCTCCAAATGAACCTTACTCATTCTGTTGCCTGAACACACCCGTGTCCTCTTTCACCTCCTGCGCCATCATGGTGGTACTCCTATCCTCCGTTTTAATTACTCCACCTGCTGAAATCCCACATCCCTTCAAAATCTTGCCAACTCAAATGGCTTTCTTCTGTTTCAACCTTTCATTACGAAGTTGAATCCTCATTAACTTTTGTAAGTCCTGTAAATGCATCCTCACACTAGATTGACAGTTTGTGTGCAGACCATTTTCCTACTTTCTACACATTGTGTTTTGCAGGTATCTTGGACATAGAAGATGCGCAATTTCATTAAATTGCAGTGAGAATCTGTCTCAATTCATTATCCCATTCTAAACCCAGGCTCCTCTATAGCTAAAATCAGAAAGAGATGAATTCTTAATTCTGAGCCAGATTCAGCCTTAGGTTAGACATCTTGCTTTGAACCTAAACACATCTACAGGTCTAAAACAAGTCCCTCAACAAAAAGAAGACATTTGAGAATTATTAGAAAGGATTATTTTTCTTACATTGGATGCTACAATGTTAAATTTACAGATAAAACATCTTAATGGTTATATACATCAAAATTCAAATGTACATGAAATTAAAATACATTATGAGGTCTGGAAGGTAACCAGCCATTTACTATGAAAAATAGAGATATTTATTGTAGAAGATACAAGAAACAAAAAATATTGTACATAGGGTATTGACACCTCGGTCCCCTTCAAAGCAAGCACCTTGTGACCTCACCCAGTTCTCCCAATCACCATCAGCTGCCCATCGTATTTTCCTGAATCTCATCGACAGTCTGAAAACTCTTCCTTTCAAAGGTGATTTTAGTTTTGGGAAAAGACAGAAATCGCAGGGTCCCAAATCTTGGCTGCAGGGGGGCTGAATCACCTGGGTGATTTGAGGTTTTGCCAAAAAAGCTCTGCAATGAGACATGATGCATGAGCAGGCACGTTGTCATGATGAAGCTGCCAATCATCAGCTGGCCAAAGCTGTGGCTTTCTGAATCATCTGAATAGTTTCTGCAGAGGAATGTCCAAACTTAATGCAAAATTTGATGCAGATTTGTTGCTCTACTCATTCAAACTGTCATTTTGAATGTGAAAGCCACACAGTACACATGCTCACTCAACAGGCCTACTGCCCCCACTGACTAGGACAGTGAAGTCGTCATTGTTCATGTATGTGCATTCCACCCCACTTTCCTTGGCTGTAGGTTACATCGATGTCGCATAAACTGTTCTCATTATATTAACAGTGGCTATACTTTTTCCAGACAGATCTTGTATATCTTATCAGGTATCTGTCCTTTGTATATTAAGCTCTAGAGATATGACACTATTCATAGGAAACATACCTTTGAAAATTAAATTATAATTATAATATATGGTTATAACTATTATCATCTATGTGATTAACTGATAGACACATTTGAAATGCTGCTCAAATTACATCTTTCTCTATACCTAAAGGAAGTTAAATCTTTGACAATTCCTGAGAAAACTGAACCAAAGAGAGTATTACTAGACCCAGTTTTAATCATTTACCATAATTATTATAAAGTATAGTGCTTTTAAATTTTAAAAATACCATTTTAGAAAATAAGCTAACCCCTGAAACCTGTAAAATTTTATTAACCAATGTCACCCCAATAAATTCAATTAAAAAAAAAGTCTAAGAAAAAGAGAAAGAAAATAATCTAATTAGATTGGAAGTCATCAGTTCTACATGTTAGTCTACATAGTGACTCTCTACCTTTTAAATAAATGTCACACCCATCCCCTAAATTTTGATTATTTGGATTATATTTTTCTAGCAACATGTTAAGGAGATATAAGTTTTACCAACTATCATATAGAATACATTATAGTTTTTATAAGGCAGCAGATTCACAGCTTTTAAAATATATTTTATTAAATAATATACTCAAAGAATAATTACAAAAGCTTTAAACAGTAATTCCAAGCAGTAAAAACAAGTTACTTTGTTTGAAAAAAAGACCAAACAGTCCATATTATATTTTGCTGCTTTATACACAGGAATGATTTATTTTACAAACTGGTTGGTTTCAATATTAGCCTGTAAAATTAACATCTCTTAATATGTCTCAAAGGCAGACTTAACTTTATGATATGCTTGTACATTAACCAGTATGCCAAACCATCAGAAAATTAACATCATGGTAACAGTTCAAAATAAAATGTACAGAACAGGCACTTTGAAGTCAGCTATTGGGTGAATGACAAGTAAATATTATTTATATGTATCTCTTTTCATCAAAAGTTATCAACCAATGAAGAAAATGTCCCTTTGATGGAGAAGCACAAACACGTTTAGGTTCCAAACGCTGTGTTCTGATTGTAATATAGGTACATGCAAGACAGACCCTAAATTAGAAAATTCTTCTGAAAGAAAAATGAAGAAAAACAAAAGGCAGCCAGGAGTTAAAGCATCTACAAGCACTTGAATAAAACCTTTAAGTGTTAAGTCAGTGTTTTAAATCCCTTCATTCTCAGGTAACAGATTAAGAGGCTGAGACAAAGATTGTCTGCAAGGGTGGAGGTTGGCAGTGTCAACATCACAAGAGTGCTCTACCACAAAAGGAAGAGGAGGAGGAGGAGGAGGAGGAGGAGGAGGAGGAGGAGGAGGAGGAGGAGGAGGAGGAGGAAGGACCTGGGTATAACTGGACCATCTCGATCCAGCTCGTGGGGACTCCAGAAGGGGAAAGAAATACCTGAAACAATGAACACAGAAACAAACCACCAAAACACAACAAAACAACAGAAAAAGAAAAGAAAAAAAACATAAAAGAGAAAAGTTGTAAATACAAAGAGAACCAAAAAGGATAAAACACATGCTGAAAAAAGCTTTAGTATATTCATGCCAAAACTAACAGAATATAATAGCAAAAATCAAGACCCTTACGCAAAACAAGCTTGCCTAAGCAGATATAGAAACTTGAAAGAAAAACTACAATCTGTTAAAATTGAAATGTAAAAAAAGACAAATTTTGTAATTTAAAACACTTTCTAACCTCTCAGAAACATTTGACGCTATCCTGTAAATTTACAAATCAAATAAGCTTTTTCTTTATTTTAAGCAATGTTTCATTTATAGTAGCAGCAGGCACAATTTTTTTTAAATTTAAACATGATACTGAAAACCAATTCAAATATACTTTCACTTTCAAAGAAATACAATCTTTGAATATTCTTAGTTGTTTTCTGGCAAAACCTTAGCACAAAAATTTGATAACTAAAAGGGCTCAAAGAATATGTGCTACTGTTGTTATTCTGCAATTTTATAACTTACCAATAATACTTAATGCATTTTAACAAAGATTTATAGCTTTGTCATCAAGGATCCATTTGTATAGGGTATAAACTACATGAAGTGACCAACTAAGAAAATTCTGGCACAAAGAATGTGGACGTTAATGTGCATGCACAATTTCAGCAAAATTTTAACTGCTTCTCTTATAGTAGGTTTCCAAAGTGACTGGAAACTTTAAACCATCAAATCACACCATAAAAATATACAAGCACATATTAGAAATGTTAATCTCTTTAGTGAATAGAAATCAAAAATTTACAAAGATATTTTCATTTTACTACTAAATTATAAATGAAGTAATACCAAATGTTTAATTTGGCTTCAAACTGTGTGTTTTACTTTCATTTTACTACTACGTCTTTCACCCTTTTCTAATATTTCTAAAATATTACAAAGAAATGACAGAATTGTACTGAATATCATGTGTAAAATGTAAACAAATTAGCACTCAAAACAACCATCATGAAAAATATTTATTCAATCTACAAATTAAAATTGTGCACACATTCATCATTTTAGCTGTTTTAGAAAGCAAAAGAAACAAGCCTCTATTCTCCAAATAAAGTGGTATATCCCCTCCTCCCAAATACCTATAAGGATGGTAACACTTTTCATTTTAAAACCCATGTTAGTTTCAGGAACATTTAAAAAAATTACTTTAGTGACAATGTCTTAAAAAAAGCCTCTCCATTTATATTTCAAAAGTTTCAAACAGTGTCAATAGCCTGGCTAATACAAAAGAAAAAGATATATATTGTATTTTTAAGAGCCTTTGGATTGTTTAGTAGTAAGCAGGCTGCTGGTGTATCTTGGGAGAGGTCAAATGGCGCTGGGAAAGGGAAAAAGGAGCTCGCTTTCCATTCCTGTGTGCATGCAACAAGCAGCAAAACAGCAAAGTTACTCCAGTTAGCTGGTACTCAGCTGTGCTTTCTGTTAAAGTACACAATACAAATGAAGAGAAATTGCATCACAGATCTAACACACATGGTTAACACAATAAGAATACAGATTAAAACTTCAAAGCTCTTTACAAAGAAAATATGCAGTACAGGCAACAATCAAAACCAGATTTTGTTTTTCTTTAAATTTACACTAGTATCCTTTGCTTCATGGAATCATCTTTATAATCTGATAACGTCTATTGTAACCTGAAACTGTTTTCATGCAAAAACTTAAACCTCAAAATGAAATAGCAGGACTTCTTTGTAAAAACACAACAATTAAAAATAGTTGAGAAAAATTTAAATACAATTCTCTTCTGTTATTTAAGAAGACGATAACCACAGGACAGTGTTCAAAGGCTGTGAAGTTTCCTGAATATTCCACAAAGAACATTAAATAATTTTACCATACAAATTCACATATTGAAATTTGAATATGAAGGCAACAGTATGATTCTTGAGATCACATCAAACATTCTTAAGATGAGTAAAAATTAAAATGTTAAAAATTCTAAAAAATCAAGTACTCAGAATTTGCCATTTCTTCTTACAATTTCCATTAAAGTTTTAAACAAACTAAAATATTAACTCACTCTCTTCTACAAAGCCTTAATGTATTTTATTTTAACTTTCAGTTTGACGCAAGTCAAAGGCTACACTGCCAGCACTGCTAACACACTAATAATCTACGACTAAAATCCTCACCTGTATCCCACTGTCCTCTTCATCTAAATTTCAGAATATAATTTAGTCTTTAACAGTCTCACAACCTACCTGTAAATATCATAAGTAAGCCAAATACAGAGCCAACAATGTGAATTTTTTCTAGTGTCATAATTATGGGTGAATTTCTTACTTCAGTCTTAAAGTCCATTAAATAATACACTTTAGTATGGTTATCAGAATGATTTAAAAAGAAGAGAATTTCTACTTTTTCTATATAACAGCCTACCTGCCAGCAGAAGATCCATTTAATGAATTTTGAAGATTTGGGATACTTGAACCTAGGGATGGAATTGTGTTTCCCTGCTGAGAACTCCCATTGACAGGGCTCCCATTACCTTTCAAAATACCAGTACACTTCCAATTGTCCATATAATTAGCTGAAAGGAAAATGGTCAAATACATTAACATGACTAATACCTATGCTCAAGGACACAAATCTGTGTTCATGTCCTCAAATTACAATTAAAGAAACAAGTGTCCTACAGGCTACATTTCTCTCAGAATAAATGTTTAAGATATTTTTAAATATAAAACACATCATAATTTTTAACAATTATTTTTAAAGTCTTAAAAGAATTACTAATTTAAAAATAAAGCTTTCACTACCCATTTCCCTTCCTCGGAGGTAATTCTCTAAGCTGCGACATTCTTACATTAAGTTACTATCAAGAGAAATTCTTTGTATATGTAGGATAATGGAGTTGTCTTCTTGGTTATGCAAGTGTAAGTCATGTGGGTACCTAATGGATGGATGTAGGAAACAAAACCTTTAAGTTTGAGTGGTTTATTCAACACCTAATTCTTCAAATGCACCAGGAAACCCAAAGCGGGGAGCCTGCTGGGGTGAAGCTGGGTGGTCTCACTAAAGCCCAGAAGCAGGAAAGGTCAGCAAAGCCTGTGAAATCAAATCACCCTGAAGAAAGGGAAGTCTGGGTTGCTTCTACCACAGCTTAAAACTGCCTTAGCCAAACTGCACTTTGGAAAACAGTTCATTGTTCAGGGTAAGTGAGCTAAGCTATAGTTTTGGGTCCAAGGTATAGGAAACCACTGACTAGAGTGGTCCACAAAGGACACCTCTGCCCAGTGGATAAACATCTGTGCAAAACTGCAGACGACACTACAAGAGATTCTCCGTATCTCTCAGCATGGCATTTGTAAAAAACTTTTAGAATCAGTGGCCTCAAAATTCTTGAATTTTTGGGAGTTGCTGAGGGGAACTGAGGAAGACACAGGATTTTCTCCTATTAATAGCTGATTCACTAAAGCAATTGTTTAATAAAAGAGGTGACTCTAGTCCTATCCTGAGTTTACACATTACACAATAGAGCAAACAGTATCTTGAATATACTGCATATTATGTTACCGCTATTTTTAGTTTTTAAAATTGCCTTGTACCACATGGAAACTTAAATAATTCAATTAGCCATTAACTGCAATTAGTCATTAACTGCTAGGTAAACCAATGAAGGTTCAAAATAACATAAATTAATATAAGGCATAATTTAAAGCTGTAGAAAGATAATTTTTTCCTAAATATTTAGAGTTTGCATTTCTAAGTGAAACTTTTAAAGAAGCAACATGAGGCAATAATTACTCATTGAAATCTCACCTTTCCATAATCTTACACAGCCATCATCACCTGAAGATGCTAGCACTGTTCCTGTTATATTCCAACTCACTCGCCACACCTGAGAATTATGATTATCAAACTGAGCCACTATATGGATTTCAAATTTTGTCGGCCCACCAGAAGAAGTTAGTTCTTTCCTGTTAACAAAAAAATTTTCCTGAGGAATTCTGGGAAAAGGTTTAAACACACACACACACACACACACACACACACACACAGAGAACACCTATCTAAACAAACAAAAAAAAATATGGTCTCACCTACTTACCACAATATTTTATAGTAATGTGCATACCCATACCCTCCCCCTATTAGCTCACTGGGCTGTGTTATGTTCAAGTACCCAGCATGATCCTACCACATAAAAGATAATGAGTGACCGTTTCATAAAAGAAAGATACAACGGAAGAGGATTTTATTCCCCCAAAGTAGAGGAACAAAATAGATAATTCATTTTAAAAGAAAAGCAGTAGGAAGAGAAAAGAAAGTGAGAAGGAGGAAAAGAAGAAAGAAAAAAGAAATGAAACTCGTAATTCCAAAATTAAAGCTAAAAGTTTATTCACAAGAATGTCTCAGTGCTAATTTAGTTTTTCCTTGGACTGTCACCTCTCATTCACTCAATCACTTATAGAGTACCAAGTATATTCAGAGGCTCTAGTTCATTGTTGGTACCAGCCTGAATAAAACATAATTAAGAAAATACAGGGCAAGGCAGGAGAGATTAATGGGGGAAAATTAGGGCAACTGTTAATAGAACAGTAACAATTAAAAAAATAAAAAATTAAAATAAAAAAATTATAAAGCTCTCTACTCAATTCCCCATCCCCCAAGGTCATATATTTATAGATGAAATGTTCATTAAATAATCCACTCTTCAGATCACAATTGCCTCTACACTCTCCCCCACATGAAAATAAGAGTTAAGAACACTTTCAAATTAGTAATTGCTTTGAAAACTCACCTCACAGGCTTCAATGTAAAAATTCTCACATCTTTGGTTGCTATGGCTAGAATGTGGTAAGACCTTCCCAAGTTTGGAGCAAATGCAATATCATGGACAGGATCAGTAACTGTCATAAGGGTTTCAGCTTTTGCATATTTCCTAATTAAAAAAAACAACTAATTAACATTAAAAATTCCAGAAATAAACATTTTAAAAATCCACATCAACATACCTCAATTTTTTTATACTGCTCACAATAAAGTAATGTTTACCTCTGCAGTATGTAGTATGTCCAAGTTCTAACCCCTGACACTATGAATGTGACTGAATTTGGAAAGTGTCTCTACAGATATAATTAAGGATTTTGGAAAGAGAACATTCCTGGGATTTAGGGCAGGCCCTAAATCCAATGTTGAATATCCTTATAAAAGAAGAAGAAAATCAGACATAGAGAAGAAAGAGACTGAAACTGGAATTAGGTGCCACACACCAAGTAACTCCTGGAGCCACTAGAAGCTTGAAGAGACAAGAAAGGATTTTAGAAGGAGCACAGTTATGAGTTAACACCTTGATATCAGATTTCTGGGCCTCTAGAAATGTAAGCATAAATCTGTTTTAAATCACCATTTTGTAGTTATTTCTTACTGCAGCCCTAGGAAATTTATATAACCTCCCAGGTTTCCTCTGTTGATTTTTGAAGTTTAGCTTAAAACACTTTAACAAAAATTAGAATGAGATTTTGATTTATTAGCTATTGTTATATATTTAAAAAAGGATAACTGAATTTCCTGAGTATTTGAATATAAATTAAAAAAGTAAAGCTGATAATAGCAGGAATTGAGTTTTTAGTGTTGATAAAGGAAGCTATACCAAGGTTATTTCATCCTTACAATTCTTTTTTATATCTGCAAATAAAGAATAAGAAGACACTGAAGGAGACAACAGATCGAATTTTTCTATTACCTTTCTGAATTCAATTGACTATCAGGGACAGAACTGAAGCACTGTGTGTTTAAGAAGGGGTAAGGGATATATCCCTATCTCAACTTTCTACCACCCTCCTCTGAAATACAGGTTGGGGCAAAAGCAGATGTAGAGTTGTTCAATGGAAAATAATACAATAATTAATAAGAAATAATACAAGAATAAACTGTTTTGCATACCCACAACTATAAACCTACATTTACCTAACCCTGTATTGGTGTTCCCAGCACTCTCTACTTGGCCTTCTTTTCACCCCCAACACTCTTTCTGAAATATATCCAAGCTAGTACAAACCTCAAGGTTCCTCCTTGATGTCTTCACACCCTATATAATCATCCTGAACAATCCCACATATACCCTTGCTTCTACTATGTGGTCCTGACTCCTCTATTTGACCTTAGACTAGTCGTTTTACTTTGTTAGTCACTTTTTCTAAATTTGGGAAAGGGCGCTAATATAAAAGCTACATAACCTACTTATGAGATGGTTGTTGGCATTCGTATTTCCTAATAGATGTGAAAAGTGCCCGGTAACGTATATAAATGCAGGACACCTATCATTATGAAGGCCAGGCCTGTCTGGATATTTTCATTCACCAACAAAAATAAAAATATCCAATACTGGTTAATTTGACAAATGTTCCCTATGTACTGAATGGAGTCACTTCTTACAAAAAGATCAATTAGGTATTGATAACTGAATGCTACAGAGTCCACTATCACATGTACTACAGATAACATGCTCAACCTATCAAGAACCTTCAAATTCTTAAAGAACCAGACCAAAAAAATCCAAAAATATCTGAACTCATAAAGGTCTAATAACTTCCTAACACAACATCTCCCCTTTCCCAGATGCAACCATTCTTACCACTTTACCATCATTCTAGATGCAGAAAGTGCCAGGAACACACTGACTTCCCTTGCAGTTAAAAGCATGGTAAAGTGACTCAATTCTGGCCAACAGGACCCAAGGAAAAAGACCGCTATGGTGCTTCTTGAAAATTTTTCTCTTCCTAATACAAGAAGGTTCATAAAAGGAAATGCCCTTCTTTACATCTGCATGGATCACCAGGCACTTCTGGAATCCTAAGGTGCTGAAACCAACATATTAAGGATGACAGCAAAAAAGAAAAGAAAAATACTAAGGCCCCTGACATCATCACTGAGCAAACTAAGCCGCTTAACCCCAGAACTTCTCCATAGCTATTGGATTATCTTTATCACTGGATTCTTTTAAGTATTTAGGTACTTTTTATCTGCCCTGTATTTTCCTTCAGAACTAAATCCAAATTCTTAGCCCTGGCCAATTAGCTCAGTTAGAGCACTGTCCTGATATGCCAAGACTGCAGGTTCAATTTCCAGTCAGGGCACATACGAGCATCAGCTAGTAAGTGCATGAATAAGTGGAACAACAAATCAATGTTTCCCTCTCTCTAAAATCAATAAATAAAAATTTTTAAAAATCCTAGTTCTTTATCCCTTTACTCAAATGTTATTTATAAAGTACTTTTTATTTCCCTATGTTTTAGAAATGGTCCATCTTTTAAGTTTTATGATTTATGGCTCATTATTCACTGTTTAACTAAGGTTGAAAGACATTACTTTAACAACATTAGATCTTCATGAAGCCTCTTTAAAATGCTATTAATGTAGCTGATAGCTTTGATAGCTTAAAAGAAGTTCTAAAGGAAGATCCCTACATTCTGGAAGTGTGCTGGCCAATATAGTAGCCACTCGCCACACATGCCTATTTAAAATTAAATTGATATAAATTAACAAATTCAGTTTCTCAGTTGCAGTAGCCACTTTTCAAGTTTCTGCATCAGATGTGCAGATATTGACCATTTCCATCATCACAGCAAGTTCTACTGGACAGCACCACTACAGACAAAGCCTCTCTAAGGAAATCAAGACTCTAGGAAGGTAGAAGGCAGGTACAAGAACCCCTTAAAAACTAAGTAGTAACATTCTGAATTGCAAAGCCCAGGGGAATTATAATAGCTCTTCTCTTCTACTTCTGACCCCACTGAACATCCAACTACTAGACATAAGAATTTTGTCTAGTACATGTGAAGCCCAGCCAATCACCTGATGGGTGCTTTTTTCTCCTATACGACTCTGAGTACAGACATCTCAATGTGACCAAAATTAAAATTTTCTTCCCATGCTGCTACACTCTACCCAAATCTGACCTATTTTCAGAATTCCTTATCTTAATAAATTAAACACTATCCATTGAATTATTAAGCCAGACCCTTGGAAATCATCTTGATAGCTCTCTCCTTCTTCTTCACCTCCCACATCCAATCAACCACTACATCCTACTGGTACTTCTTAAATTATTCTCAAACTGTCCTCTTCTCTCTGTCCCCGTCACCCTTACTCTATTTCAAAGCCACTATAATCTCCTACCTGGGCTATTATAACAGCAACTTGCCCTAAATCCACTCATGCTCCCTTCCAAAATACTTTCCACACATAGAGTTAAACTATCATTTGATCCTATTATCCCCCAACTTAAAAATCTTTCAATGGCTTCATATTACCTGTGAGATAAAACCTAAACACTGAACACGAAGTCTTGTATATATAAGCCTTGCATATTTCTCACCACACTATTCTTTGCCTGTGTTCCAACCACAGTAAAAAATATATTGACTCTCTTGTTCACAGACCATATCACATGCAGTTTTCTCCATGTGGAATGTTCTGCCCTCTTTGGCTAACTTTTACTCATCCTATAGGTCTGCTTTTGGGTGAACCTTCCTGGACCCTTCTCCCTGGGTGTACACTCGTTCTCTCAGTTTATAAAATTCATCATCATTTTTTAATTTTTTTGTTTGTTTGCTTTCCCTGCAAGATGGTACTGGGAAATCAATTACCATGTCCTCTATACCATTCAATTTCATATTATTATAGAACATGCCATATCGTAGGAAGTCAGCAAATATGTAATTGGTAATGCATAATTCAGTTAATGAATAAAGAAATAACATTTAAAAAAATAAATGCAATTTGGAACAATACTTAATAAATGCAAGTTGGAATAATACTTAAACTAAAGCAATACTGACCTGGTATTTTCATTATATTCAAAAATCTGAACTTTAGCCATTGCATTTGGACTACTGTCATCACTTCCTACAGCTATCATGGGGGAATGAGCACGAGAGCTGTAAATAAAAGGTAAAAAATACTTCACATGATTAAATTAATTATACTTAAATCAGAAAAAGTTTTTTTATAAAACTGGCATCAAGCAGCTCTACAACCTGCAAGTCAGCAAGACTATGATAAAATCCCTGATGTACATTAGACACAGCAACACCTGGAAAAGGCGTGTCCTTGAGAATGCTCAATATGGGGACCAAGACTACTATCCTTTTGCATTGTATTTATCACATTTTATTATAGTTGAGAAAGAAAGTAGCTTTTTTTCCCTAAAAGAAAAGGTTTCAAGCATTCAATTAGGTTTTTTGAAAAGGAAAAGAGAAAAAAAAAAAAAAAACACCTACAAGATCTTTAAATTTTTCTTCCTGAAAGATCTGGTCATTAATTGTGGAATGAAAAGTAACTCTATAGTGCCAAAGTCACGACAAAAAGATTTTAAGTGCTTTGTACAAAAAGGAAGAAAACTCTCAGCAAGGCATGCTTCCCACATGTCATTCTTTTCTCAGGACTAACTGTGAAAGCCAAAAAGATAAGCAATAAGAGAATGAACTCTACTGAACTCTAGGCTAAATGATTTATTTCTATTTAATTAAATACCTAATTACCTAAATACCGATTTTCTTTTCCTCCCTCATGCAGATTAAGTCATACCTCTATGAACAGGACACCCTTGTTTAACCTTTGACCTTAGTATTGCCATCTGCCAACTCATAAAGCTGAAAACAGAATGTGGTAATGAAATTAAAAGGTTTAGTTCTTTATTCCTAAAGCTTGATGACTAAAGTTACTGATAATGAAGCAAGGTACCTAAATTAGAAAAATACCAAGTAAACTGCAAAGTCCTATAGTAATAAAATTCCAAGTTATTTATAATACTCTTGACCATTCGAAGAGATGTAAATTCCACAGCAATTTCTGCATCTCAGAAACTCTCTTTTTTAATGTCCTATAACTGTTTTTAAACAACGTTAAGTATTTGAGCAAGGACCAAAAGTGCATTTACAGTAACATATTCTAAAATTACTAAACATATCTTTTAAACTAAAGCATTTTTAAATCAAACTATAAAATAGATGAATAAACAACTGAATTGGGAATGACCTCATTTGTACATCCAGAAATAACACGTTCACATCTAGACTGTCTTCCTAATATGACTCAGTGAGAAAAACCACCCACCCCCTGTATATCCACAACTCCTCTTCCCTCCTAAGATTCCATAGAAATGATGAAAAGAGTAACACCACAACAGTGCTAGAAATCAGTGTGTCATCAGAAATTTAAAAATTTGGAAGAATTCCAAAACAGGAAGCAGAAAGTGAGACAGAAATGCAAAGGGAAAAAGAGCCCATATGACTATCAGTAAGGAGGAAGTTCCAGAAGTTCCAGAATTTCCAACGTTCAATCAAAACATGTAGTGAATAGAAATGAGTCATGAAGTGATTCATTTAAAAAACTGCCATCAGAAGACCCCCAAGGCTGGCAGATAACTCTGTTTTACGCTAACATCTGAGAAAGGATTCTAGTGAGATGATTTAGAATGTAAAAGAGAAGAGATAAGAACTTGAAATACAGTACTCCCAACACCTGAGAGGAAAAGAAACAAAACACATGAAAGTGCTCCATCCCCTAAATCAAGTCCTCCTAACTCTGGCATTTTGGCATTCCCTATCAAGAAATCCTGCTAACCCACTCCATCTACTTAGATGAAACTCAGCCAAATCTGTAGGTAAGGGAGTGAGTTACTAAGAAAACAGAGCACCTAACAGAAGAAAAATAATACCAGTTTTCTCTACTAGCCATAATAATCTCTTGCTTATAAATACAAAAAGGTAAGTAAAAACTAACATATACTCAAGGAAAACAGACACATGCATGAAAGATAAAGACTAAGAGGTATACAGCCCTGGCTGGTGTGGCTCCATAGACTGAGTGCTGGCCTGAGAACCAAAGGGTCGCTGCTTCAATTCCCAGTCAGGGCACATGTCTGGGGTGTGGGCCAGGTTCCCAGTGGGGGGCACACAACAGGCAAAGCTTCTCTCCCTCTCTTTCTCCCTCCCTTCACCTCTCTCTAAAAATAAAATAAATCTTTAAAAAAAAAAAGACCATGTATACAGATCTTTGAGAAAATACAGATTCTCATTATTTGCAGATTCTGTATTTATAAACTGACCTAATGGCTAAAATTTATTTGTAACCCCCAAAATCGAGTACCTAAGGTTTTCAGTCATTCACGAACATGTCTGAAGCAGCTCTGCAAAAATTTTGAGTCACTTGATGCACATGTTCCACGCTGAGGAAGAACTAAGTGAGGCTCTACCTTCATGTTTCAGCTCTCATACTGGAAACAAATTATTTCTTTTGTACTCTATTTACCACCATGTTTTCTGCATTTTTGTGCTTTGTGTTGGTGAAGGAGTAATCAGAGAAAAAGAAAAACATCTTAACAATTAAAAATGATTGCCAATTCGCAATCCTACCCCTGCCCTCCGCCCCCCACAAAAGAATGGATGGTATAAAATGTGTGCCTAGAGAACAAGTTACAGATCTGGGAGACAGAATAGTAATTCTCCAAACCACTTTAAAGAAATGGAGGATGAGTCCAGGAATAATCAAAGATGAGTTCCAAAAAGACAAAACAGAGATAATAGAAGAAAACTGTCAAAGAATCATAAAAGACCCCCAATTTGAGATAAGAAATTTTATTTTGAAAGAAATCACTAAACATCAAGAAGGATGAATCAAAAAAGACCAACACCTAATAGTATATGTCTCTATTTTTTAACAAGTCTTTTTTGGGGGGGAGAGAAGGAGGATTGAGGGAAAAGACATGTCTATATATTGTAAAACAAGAGTAGCTTTGTGTGAGAGATGGGTAATAGACATATAGGGATCCTTCTGTACTTGTATTACTACGTTTGGAATATGTGAAATTTTCCTTAACAACAACAAAAAAAGTGTTTTAAAGGAAAAAAATACCACCCTAGTCAATGTGGCTCAGTTGGTTGAAGTGTCATCCTGTGGACCAAAAGGTCATGGGTTCGATTCCCTCCCTCTCTCTCTTAAAGCAATGCCCTCAGGTGAGGATAAAAATAACTTTTTTTAAATAATAATAAAAGGAAAAAAAACCTAGAAACATCTTGATTACATTTTAGAATTCTATTCCCTCAAACCACATTCAAAGCAATCAGGAGGTTTAATGTCCTAAATGTGAAAGGCAAAACGAACAACCTTTCAGTATACAGCTGACAACCTCAAGGTGGGGAAGAATTTCTCAAATAGAAATAAAAAGCACTGTAACAAAGAAGGAATGATTGTAGTTACATTAAAATTCACAACTCTTTGTCATCATAGTCATCAGTGTCAAAATGACAAACCACAGACTAGGAGAATACATTTCCAACAGAGCTCAAAGTAATAAGACAAAATCCTAAAAACTTCCAAAAAGAACAGGCTACCTACAAAAGAACCAGCATCAGACTGACCTCAGACTTCTCCTTACTAACACTCAAAGAACCGTATCTTCAAAATTCTTATGCGTCACTTAGAACTCGAAAACTAGCCAAATTACAATTAAGCATGGGGTAAAGTTAAGACACTGTCAGGCGTGGAAGCATTCAAAGAGCTTGCCATCCATCCCCTATGTAAAAAATTACTTTAGGAGGTATGCCATCAAAATGGAAAAAATCTGAATACAAGAGGTGATATGAAATCTGTGACAGCCAGGTATAACCCAGAAGTAAAGGAAATCAAAAAGCAAACCACAGCACAGAAGTTAAAACGACATTAATCTGTGTGAACAACAGGTTCCATGTAATAGATTACATTTGCACCTATAATGAATATTTGCATAATCTAATATTGTAAATTTCGTTACTATTTAATTTTTAGAATCAACTTGTAGTCAAAAGACAAAATTACTTACAAATATATTAATGACAGTATAAATACAAATATTATAAATCTTGCCAGTATGTTAGCGACACAACAAAATATTAGGAAACGGAAGGGTAAAGGTGAGGTAGAAGCAAAATAAGCTAATTTCCTTTTTTAAAAAGGTGAGTCAATATATAGTCTAAAAATTGATAGATCACTAAATATAAAAGTATCATTTAAAATTATTATAATTAACAACATAACTAAAATAACTATCAACAGCTCCACAAATATCAAATGACATATCAGGAAGAGAAAAGCTTTATAAATGTGCTAAATTCATCTTTTACATATTGAGTACATATAAATAGCAAGAACAAGGGGTATAACTAAATCATTTAAAAATAGTGACTACCAGAATTAAAATCTAAAAATAGAACTATTAACAACAACAGCATTTGTTTTTAGGAGGTAGGGAAACTTTTACTTTTCATCCTGTACTCTTCTGGATTACTTGAATTTTTTTCTTTACCAAGTGATTATTTCTTTCATTTTTTTTTAAAAGATTTTATTTACTTTTTTAAAGAGAAAGGAAGGGAGAAACAGAGGGAGAGAAACATCATTATGCAAGAGATACACAGATTGGTTGCCTCTCCCACTCCCCCAACTAGGGAACCTGGGCCACAACCCAGGTATGTGCCCAGACTCGGAATCGAACCTGTGACCTTTAGATTCGCAGGCTAGCACTCAATCCACTGAGCCACACTAGCCAGGGCTCCTTTAATTTTTAACAATAGTTTAACAAAAAGTAATCATGGTACGGTCTTAGAGTCACACTCTATATAGTAGTTAAAGGAATAATGTAGGACTAACTAGATACACTAATATCTGGAAAAATGCCCACAAGGTATGAGTAAGTGAAAAAAAAATTGCAAGGAAGGAAATGGATGTTTCTAAATGTCTATATGTTTTGTGTCCACCTGTACATGACAGTATACATCTATGTATATTTGCATCTATTTGTGTATTTATATATGCATTAAATATTTATTTGTATATTCATGGACAAAGCTCAGAAGGTATATACCAAAATATTTCAAACGGCTGGTTTCTTCTCTGCAGGAGAAATAGGGGGTCAAGAGAAAGGGTGGAGAAGGGAAAGCCATTATTCTACATAACATATATTAAACTATATTAAAAATAATGAACATGACTAAGGAAACTATTTAATAAAATAAATCATCAAATGCTTAGCTTAAAAATTACCAATTTGTTTTTCTAAGATTATATTATCAGAAGTATGCCGTGTAAACTTACCTTGAAGGATTCCAAGAAATACAACTACAGCTTAGCTTACATGAGATCTCATGCTGCAGAGACCACTGACTGAGATTCATGACATCGGGGGCCTCATATATTCTTACTATACCATCCGCAGAACAGGTTGCTAACATAAGACCCATATGCTTAGGAGCAAATTTCACATCAGTAACAGATGTTCTGCTGTCCACTAGAGTTGTCCTCTTAACCTGAAAAAAATTTACAATTTAAATTATATACTGTACTCACTCCACCTTACCTGCGCTTTCACTTTTCATGGTTTCAGTTACCAGTGGTCCACCACAGTCTGAAAATATTAAATGGAAAATTCCAGAAATAATTTTTAAACTGGGAAACCTTCTGAATAGCAAGATGAAATCTCTCACTGTCCAGCTCAGGATACAAATCATCCCTTTGTCCAACATATCCATATCACTTCTTATCACTAATGCACTGTTTTGTCTCACATCATCACAAGAAGAGTGAGTATAGTACAATGATGTATTTTGAGAGACCACATTCACATACCTATTATTATAGTATGTTGTTATAATTGTTCTATTTTATTGTTGTTGTTACTCTCTGTTGTACCTAATTTATAAGTTAAACTTTATCAAAGGTAAATATGCATAGGAAAAAAAAACAGTACATATTGGGTTTGGTACCACCCATAGTTTCTGGCATCCAAGGAGGGTCTTGGAATGCATTTCCCATATATAAAGGGAGATTACTATACAAAAAAAAAAAAAAGAAAGAAAGAAAAAGGATGGTACAGTGGAAAGAAAGAACACAAGTTCTAAAATCACACAAAACTGTGCTGTCGCTCTGTGGTTTACTAGGATACATTACCTTGAATAAGTTCCAATATTTAAAATGTACCTACGCCTCAATTTCCTCCAAGGTACTTGGGAAAATACCACATACAGAGCTGGCCATCAGTAAAAAATTAATTACTCCACTTACAGCACAAATAAGACCTTTTAAGGTCTAGCTATTAAATTATGTTAAATATTCTCTCGCAAGTAGACTGGTGGTTAAACCAGAAAATGTGAGTTTTTCATACAGGTAGTTTTGTCATGCAAAGAATGCTGCAAGCAGAAAATTAAATAAATTAAGATTCTTTAACAGTAAGATGGAAGGCATGAAACTTTTTTCTTTGAGCAAAAATGTCAGAGAACCCTAGTTGGACTTCAACTATCAACTTTAAGAGAACGCATTTAGCAGAGACCAAGAGAATGGTACAATACTGGCTTTATAATAATTTTATAAGTTATTTTCTGGAACCTAGATATGATTATTTTTGACAGAAAACATCAATAAAATTTAGGAACGAACAGCTTACTATCTGTGGTTATCAAAATACATTTTAATGACTGTCAATATTAAAAGAATATTACATAAACTTCAAACACAGCACCCTTGTAAACTACAAACACAGCATCCCTGCAAATTTTTTTAAAAATGTTTTTATTTTTGTTAAATTATACTTATCTCCACTTTTCCCCCCATTATTCTCCCCTGCCCAGGTACACTCATCTCCCACATTCAATCCTCCCCCATCATTGTCCTTGTCCATGAGTCCTTTACACGTGTTCTTTGACTGGAGCCTTCCCTATCTTTCGCCCAGTATGGCCCTCCCGGCTCCCCTCTGGTCACTGTCAGTTTGTTCTTTGTTTCCAAGTCTCTGGTTCTATTTTGCTCAATTGTTTGTTTTGTTGATTAGTTTCCACTTATAGGTGAGATCATATGGTATTTGTCTTTCACCACCTGCCTTACTTCACTTAGCATAATACTCTCCAGTTCCACTGATGCTATCCCGAAGGGTAGGAGTTCCTTCTTTATTTCTGCTGCATAGTATTCCATTGTGAAATGTAGCACGGTTTTTGATCCACTCATTTACTGATGGGCACTTAGGCTGCTTTAGCACGTGGCTATTGTAAATAATGTTGCTAGGAACATAGGGATACTAAGGGTTCTTTTGAATTGCTGCTTCAGGATTCTTAGGGTATAATACCAGCAGCAGAATTGCTGGATCAAAGGACAGTTCCATTTTTGGTCTGTTGAGGAAATTCCATACTGTTTTCCACAGGGCCTGTACCAGTCTACATTCCCACCAACAGTGTACTAAAGTTCTCTTTTCACTACAACCTCACCAGCACTTTTGTTTGTTCATTTGTTTATGATGGCCATTCTGAACGGTGTAAAGGGTAAACTCACTGTGGTTTTAATTTGCATCTCTCTAATGATCAGTGATGCTGAGCATCCTTTCATTTGTCTCTGGGCCCTCTACATGTCTTCCTTGGAGAAATGTCTGTTCAGGTCCTTTGCCCATTTTTCAATTGGATTGTCTCTTTCTGGTGTGGAATCATGTGAGTTCTTTATATGTACTAGAGATGAAACCCTTGTCCCATGTTATCAGTGGCAAATATATTTTCCCATATGGCTGGTTCCCTGTATATTTTGCTAATAATTTTTTAGTCATCCAGTAACTTTTTAATTTCATGTAGTCCCATTTGTTCTCTCCTTTATATCACTCGCTCTAGGGAACATATCAGTGAAAATATTGCTGTGTGGTCCAGCAATATTTTCAGACCACGAAACGGTCTGGACACAAATGGTCTGGTCCAGAGCTTTTGTGTGCCATCTGAGTATCTGAAATTTTTCTGCTAGGACTTTTATGGTGTCACAACTTATATTTAAGTTTTCTATCCATCTTGAGTTTATTTTTGTGCATTGTGGAAGTTGATGGACAGGTTTCTTTTTTTTGCATATAGCTGTACAGATCTCCCAACATCATTTGTTGAAGAGGCAATTTTTACTCCATTTAATGCTTCTGCCACCTTTGTCAAATATTAATTGACCATACAGACATGGATTTATTTCTGAGCTTTCTATTCTGTTCCATTGATCTATGTGTCTGTTCTTATGCCAGTGCCAAACTGTTTTGATTACAATGCCCTTATAATATAGTTTGATGTCAGGTATCGAGATCCCTCCTACTTTGTTCTTTCTCAAAATCGCTCAGGCTATTCAGGATCATTTATGGTTCCGTATAAATTTTTGAAATGTTTGTTCTATATCTGTGAAATATGTCATTGGTATTTTGATAGGGGTTACATTGAACCTATAGATTGCTTTGGGTAGTATGGATGTTCTGATGATGTTAATTCTCCCAACCCATGAATATGGTATGTGCTTCCATTTATTTGTACCTACCTTAATTTATTTATTCAGTGTTGTGTAGTTTTCTGAGTACAGGTCTTTTACCTCCTTGGTTAGGTTAATTCCTAGGTACTTTATTTTTCTTGTTGCTATAGCAAATGGGGTTTTTTTCCTGATTTCTGATTCTGATATTTCATTGTTGGTGTACAAAAATGCCTTCAGTTTCTGAATATTGACTTTGTATCCTGCTGTTTTGCTGAATTCACTTATTAGGTTGAGGAGTTTCTTGGTGGAGTCTATAGGGTTTTCTATGTACACTGTCATGTCATCTGCAAACAATGTCAGTTTTACTTCCTCCTTTCCAATTTGAATGCCTTTGCTTTCTTTTTCTTGTCTCATAACTTTGGCTAGAACTTCAAATACTATGTTGAATTAAATTGGTAAAAGTGGACATCCTTATCTTCTTCTTAATCTTAGAGGGAAAACTTTTAGTTTTGGCCACTTGAGCATGATGTTGGTTGTAGGTTTCTCCTATATGGCCTTTATTATTTTTTAAAATATTTTATTTATTTTTAGAAAAAGGGGGAAGGAGGGGGAAGAGGGAAAGAGAAACATTAATACACAAGAGAAAACATCAACTGGTTGACTCTGGCACGTCCCAACTGTCGACCCGGCCCATGACTCACACATGTGCCCTCACTAGGAGTTGAACTGGCAACCTTTGGTCTGCGGGTTAGCGCGCAATCCACTGAGCCACACCAGCCAGGGCTATATGACCTTTATTATGTTGAGGTATGTTCCCTGTATTCCTGCTTTACTGAGTGTTCTTATCATAAATGGGTGCTGTACCTTATCAAATGCTATTTCTACATCTATTGATATGATAGTGTGATCTTTGTCTTTCATTTTGTTTACATGATATATTACGTTTACTGATTTGCAAATATTGTACCATCCTTGTATCCATGGGATGAATCCCACTTGATTATGATCTTTTTAATGTATTGCTGGATGTAGTTTGCCAATATTTTGTTGAGGATTTTAGCATTTATGTTCATCAGTGACACTGGTCTGTAGTTTCTTCTTTGTTGTGTCTTTATCTGGTTTTGGGATTAAGATGATGCCGGCCTCATAAAAAGAGTTTGGGAGTCATCCCTCTTCTTGGACTTTTTGGAATGGTTTGACAAGAATAGGGGTTATATCTTCCTTAAATATTTTGTAAAATTCTCCTGTTGAGAAGTCAACTGTTATCCTTATCATGAAACGGTCTGGTCCAGAGCTTTTGTGTGCCAGGTGTTTTTTGATTACTGCTTAAATTTCACCAGCTGTTATCGGTCTCTTCAGGCTTTTTGCTTCTTGATTCAGCTGTGGAAGATTTTATGTTTCTAGAAATTTGTCCCTTCCACCCATGTTGTCAAACTTCTTGGCATATAGTTGTTTGTAGTAATTTCTTACAATACTTTGCATTTCTGTGGTATCAGTTTTAAATTCTCTTCTTTCATTTCTGATTTCATTTATTTAGGTTCTCTCTCTTTTTTTTTCTTGATTAGTCTGGTTAAGGCTTGTTACTTTGTTTACCCTACCAAGAATCTATTCCTGAACTTACTGATCCTTTAAATTGTTCTTTTAGTCTCTGTATCATTTAATTCTGCTCTGATCTTGATAATTTCCTTCCTTCTACTGCTCTGAGCTTTGATTATTGTTGTTCCTGAGTTCTTGTAAGGTAGGATTAGGATGTTTATTTGAAATTTTTGTATCTTTTTTAGGTAGGCCTATATTGCTATGAACTTCCTTCTTAGGACTGCCTTTGCTGTGTCCCTTGGTTTTGGACTACTGTGTTCATTTTCATTTGTTTCCAGAAATGTTGATTGTTTTCCCTTGATCTCATTTTTAACCCATTCATTCTTTACTAACTCCATCAGTCTCCATTAATTTGACTGTTTTTTGTTTTTTCCTTGAGGTTGGTTTCCAGTGTCAAGCCCTGATGGTCCAAGAAAATGCTTGATATTACTGCTTGATAATATATAAAATGCTTGGTATGATTTCA